CATCCAGCATCCAGCATCCAGCATCCAGCATCCAGCATCCAGCATCCAGCATCCAGCACCATCGATCGCACATTCTCACTCGACCGCCCACATCTCCTCTCTCATCCTACCACACACACATTCAGGCCGCATACACGACACGCTCGCCTTTTTGCTTCCCTCTCTCCAAAGCCTCGCTTAGTGCTAGGCGTGCACAGTCACCCACTGCGCCGTGCAGTCATCTTCATCTTGCCCCTCGAAGATCTTCGCATCGTTGGCCATCTCACGTAGCTGCACTTCAAAACGCATCCTCATCATGTCAGCAGCTTCCGACTTGGCTTCGCCGGGCCCAAGCGCTGAGCTGTCGGCAGGTGCAGCCAATGCTCAGTTCTTGCGTCTCGTTGGACAACATCGACCGATCGGACCTCACAAACACTTCAACTCCATCCCCGTCCTCGTTGCGCTGTCTAGACGATCTACAATCAAAAGAGAACCGGATGAAGAGCAGGAGGAAGGGAGAGATGGTAGCCGTGATCAGACAGTCGAGCTCGAAGGCGAAAGTGGTGGTAGCGGGGCGACAGATGCTGATGCTGAGATTGCTACGTTGGATGGCCACGTTATACGCCTCAGACTGGATGAGCTATACGATGTCAAGGGGCTCGAGGAGCTGGTGAGTGGGGCCAACTTGCACAGCACGCTTCGTGGTTCTTTTGGGGTCCCGCAAGTGCCCGTCATTTGACCTTGTGCAACTTTGTGCTCCAGGAGGAAGCAGCTACGCGAACTCAATTCGGTCTGCGCTCCGAGTCCGCTTCTCGCTCTTCGAGTCCCGAAGCAGATGATCACGAGACTAGCGGCATGTCGAGGCACGCATCCTGGAAGCATCCCAGATTTGGCAGCGGCATACTACGATTGGCGGGTGTGGGCGGTAGATCGAGAACGTCGACGGCATCTAGCGCAGTAGAAGGAGATGCGGGTGCTGGATCTGCAAGGTCTCAAACACCTTTGGGCCACTCGCTCTTGCCCTCTATCATCGCCAAAGGTTCGAGGCATGAGTTCGGATTGCCTTTCGACGACGGCTTCGATGATTTGGTGCACGCTCGCAGGCTGCTTTCTGCAGGACCGAAGCACAACGTCAGCAGTGATGATGAGCTCAGCGATATCGATCCTGATCGTGAGCACGATGGAGAAGAGACTGACGAGGGGGACGATGCCAAGGTCGATGCCGAGCAGCAAGAGGAAGATGAGGAGGAAGGCGGAGAAGCGCGAGAAGCGCAGGAAAAGCCTCGTCGTACGCGAGGCTCGACTCAACGGTCTTCCAAAAGGCGAAAGACGGAGAAAGAAGCTGCGGATGGGGATCGGGATCACGAGGAGACCAATGCGGCCGAGGAGGAGGAAGAGCAGGATGAAGATGAAGAGGAGCAGAATGAGGATGTGGATGATGACGATGAGGAAGAAGAGGAGGATGAGGCGCAGTCGACACGTTCTGGTCGACGTGGCGGTCAAAGCAGTGCGGAACAGAACAGCCGTAAGCGCACGCGAAGCAACAGGTCTTCGACAGCAGCAGCTCAGCCAGCTTCGGCTTCCAAGGCTGGGACCAAAAAGAAGGGCCAGAGCGATGCGTCTGGAAGCTCTCTGGCAGTCGAACAAGGCCAACCTTCCAAGTCTACAAGGAGCAGCACGGCACCAAGGAGGAGCACTAGGCGTTGAGTTGGTCGCATCTCTAAACCGCATACTGGTCAGCCTTTGGTCTCATCGTGCATCGCATCATCGGCACAAAGCACTGCACAATGAAGCAACACATGTATTTTACAACAGACGAGCGAGTATAATGAAAAGCAAAACGACTTCTAAGCGTCCCTTGCGGAAGTCCCGACGTACGAGGGAGAAGTTCTTGCATGCGCAGAATCGAGTCACGGGCGGCTCGAGATCGCCCCAGCGATGCTGAAACAACATCCGAACAATGTTGGCGTGTTAGAGTAAGATGCGGCCATCAGAGTCGCAGTTGAAAACGCCAAAGCAGCAAGTGTTGTCGTCCCCTGCTGAAGTGCCTGTCTGTGCATAAGAGTTCGATGAAGAAGTGCCTTGGAGATTGTTGCCGACCTGAGCGCTGTACTGGTTCGCATTGCTGCCGAGCGAAGGATGAAATTGGTGATTGGGGAGCTGAGCGAGCTCAGAGTAGATGGTGGGGTGCATCTGATTGTTGAAGTGTCGAGGTGGAACACTTGCCTGCTCAAGGCATGCCGCACTTGCTGTGCCGGAGGGTTCGTCGTTAGATCGGGAAGCTGAGCAATGTATCGGCGGGCAAGGCTGTGGTGTGCGAGCATAAACGCCTGCGTCGTGATGGTCGGATCTCACGGACGAGACGCGCGGTCTGGCCGTTTCCCGAACGATGCTGCTTCCCATTATCCTGGGCCGATTCTCGTGAGTAGCGCTGTGCGATGGGGCATCATGGGTAGCGCACGGCGACTCGGCAGGAGGTACATAGTTCCAATCGACGCTGAAGGAGGCGGGGGTGCCAGGAGGCGCCATGGCCGAAGAGGGAGAAGTTCCGATGGTTGAGTGAGGTGTGCTCTGCGTGGAAGCGATGGACGTTGCTGGGCGAGCGGCGTTCCACGTCTCTGTCCTCCTTCTGACCTGCCTCGCGCTGTCATGAGTAGCGTCGAAGTCTGGCGGTGGTCCTCTTCGAAAGGATAAAGGTGCATTGTGAGCGTGTGCTCCTGTAGAAGCTTCACTAGGCGACCACGCAGGGGGCTGCTGCATGCTGCTAGAGAGGCGGTGGTCGACTGCAACGCCATTTGCCGTGGACGCCGACGCCGGCCTTGCGGGTCTGCTGCTCGCGTGCGATCCGAAATGTCTTTGAGCATCAATATTGGGAGGCAACATGGGAGTCGCTGCGTCATCACCATCTCTGCTTCCAAACTCCAAATTAGAAAGGCCACTTGGCGCGGGTCTCGAGTCGGCCCGCTGAGAGAGCCAAGCCTGCCTTCGCTCATCTGTGCTTGCCATCGCGCTTCTCAGGCTGATCATGGCAGCGTTCGCATTCCTGACATGTTCCTCGAGCACCGACATGGCCTCACGCTGAATGAGGCGAGCGATCAAAGGGTGAATCGAGCTCAGCCTTTGCTTCTGCAACCTCATCTGAGACATTGTGATCGCTTACAATTTGACCATGTCCCTGCGCGTTTGCCTGGCAATCCGAGCATTGACTGGCATTGGAGGCGGTGCTTGCGACTGCAGGCTGACCCATGCGGAGGAGCAGGGATGGGTCCTTCACATCCTCTTCCTCGGATTGCGCATCGATCTCCTCCTCCCCTTCCGCATCAGCGTCTCCAACAGAGATCGAACGCGACCCTTGAGCGGCATCAGGGAGCTCCTCTTCGGGTGCCGCGAGGCCAGAGCTTCGTCTCAGAGCTGCATTCTCGGCTCTGAGCTTCTTGACGGCCTCTTCGAGATCCCTCAAATGCGCCGCTTTGCGCTCGCGAAATGCCCGTTGC